AGCCTTGCCTCAAAATAACTGTGGGCATGAACTGAACTATTCTCAGCTGTGCTCGTCCTCTCTAACTAGTGAATATATATGGTGCTGGTTGGTGTAAAGGGCAACTGTTGGACTAGTAAAATAAAGCAAGGAAGCTGATGCTGGATGATGAAGGGAAAAAGAGGCCAAACTGTGCAGGCCTTCTTTAGCTTGTGGTGTTAGTCTACTTCTTAATAACCAGTAAATTCACCTACATGCTTCTTCAACAAGGTAAACTGAAAGTGGGAGAAGTTTTTTGGTTTTAGTCCTCCAACAGCTTCAGTCACTTCCACGTGGTGGTAGGAGATGCCTTACAGCAGTGGTGCTTTGTGTGTAGGTGGGAGTATGAGATGTGGAGTGTCTCGCTCCTCTGTATCCGCTCATGCCTACGCTGTTCCCACCACATAGTGTTTCTGCACATATGGCTCAAAAATACAACAATTATTTTGGTGTCGAAGTGTTTGAAATAGTGTGAGAACTATGTTGCTGCTTTAGAGGGATGTTTTTATGCACAACATTGCTAAGGTGTTGCACACTCAAGGGCATGGAGTAAAAGAGTGAGAAGATGTGAGGATTGAAAGCCTGCTGGGAGTGGTGTTGGAGGTCTGCAGAGAACCAAAGCAAATGCATGCTTGTCCGGACTGGTTTTTGGGAACGGTCCCTAAAGTAAACCATCCTCAAAACCCAGGAGCAAACAGACACTTGTACAATGTGTGGGAGACCAGCCCTTAGAGTAGCTGCTTTAGGAAGATGTCATTAAACTGCACAGCTCACTTAATTTTTGGTTTTAGAAGTATATTAGCAATTATTTATGGGTTGGTTTGTTTTCATAGGGAAAGCATCTGACTTTCAAGCATCTAAAGCCAAAATGTTGTTATATATCACATCTAAATGGGGAATTGTTGCCCAGCTATTGTTAGGTTCATCGACAGAAACATACCAGTGTAAAAACTGGCAACAGGAACAAAAAAAAACCACCACAAAACAACACAGAAATGAGACAGGCAAAGACTACAAACTTGCTCAGAAACCCTCTTCTAACTTCTAGTTACTTGATGATCAAGAAGGCACCTCATAAAATGATAACATAATCATCGCCTGCTGTAGCTGTAGAAAGGGCTCTACAAAACCAGATATTCCTTCCTGTTTGTTTTTTGTTGTGGTTGCCCCTGTGCTTTTTGAACCAGGTGGGGGTGGAATGACACTGTACACCACAGGGCAGATAACTAGCTGGGGATTTCTAACCCTATCTTGCGCTTGGGAATATGATTATTTTTTTAGGATAATAACACACATAATTTGTATTAACTTCGGTTGTCATGGTAGCCTGGAACATGCGTATGCCCTCTTTCTGCAAGCAGAATTAGGTTTATACCATCTTTACAGAAGAGTGCACCGCCCACACAGAGGGGTTCCCCTTTCCCCTTGCTGCATGCACATAACTCACAGTAACGGCAGTGGCGATTGCACTTGAGACCGGAGCCCGGTGAGCAGGAGACCTGTGCAACTGTGTGGTGGCAGAATTAACAGGAGCTACTCTACTCCTGTGAATCTCCTCCACACCAGGAAAGTGTCTGGCTGGTGTTTTTAAAGAATAAATGAAAAATATTTTTAAACCCTGTCAATAATGCAAAAATAAACAATGGTACAGCAATCCCTCTCCTGCAAAACTTGAAATAGGATAACTGCAATGATGTGTGAAGCAACCTACATGCTAGGGTGCACGGTGCATTCTGGTTAGGATTTGATTTCATGGATACGGTTTCTGTCTGTGGACTCAACAGAGGCATCTCAATCAATATGACTCAACAACAACGACGATTTTAAATTACGATTTTGAAAAAGCCTTTACATTCTGGACAGTTGTTCTTTTCCATAATCCATTTGGAGAGCTCCTGGTGGTTAAGCCCTGAACAGCACAGGTTGATACTCAAATACTAAGGAAGCTTATTAATGAGCAGAGGTGTGTGAAAAGCTTCTAGGATGTAAGATGGGAAGTCTCCTGTTGCTATTTCAGTATGCGTTGCTGCCAGACTGGAGAACACATCACATTGAAAATTTATTTATTTTTTTTTATCTCAGCTGAATTTGTGACTGGCCAGTGGAATAGGCACTCTATTGATCATTTTCTGAAGATACCACAGATTTTAGATACTAATCTGTAAACTTTTTCAAATTGACCACCAAAGCACTACACCTTCTCTTACACCGAACGAAAGAAAGGTCTTCCCATTTGTCCATTGGTGTGCTGTCCAAACTTGGTATTTAAAAAATAGAAAAAGAGTGGATGAATATAGGTGATTTTGTGTACTCTCACCAGTTTCCTTCTGAGATAAGGCTAGATTTTGCTTTTACTCTTGTCAGTCAGTGCATGTTTCATAGGGCAGTGTACCAACCTGACTTGAATGATGGTGGGGTTTTGTGGTATATCTTACTTCAGCTCACACATGATTAAATTATATTTCTTCTTGTCTGAATAAGCATTTATATTGGAAGAGATTCATACTTAACTTGGAGTTAGGGAAGTGCATGTCAGTATTTCACTTGTGTTGCTTAGCTCAGTAAAATATCAGTTTTGATGAGTTAAAGATAGAAAGTCATAAAAGTGGGAGGGGGGAATCAAACATTAACAGTATAGGAAAGCTGTTCTTTTAAAATACCACCCAATAATATATATTGCACTCTCAAGTTATTGGAACATAGCTTGGTCAAAACAATGACTTCATGTACTGAAGAAAATCAAAGAAAGTCTCCCCCCCCCCCTCTTTTCTTTGGAAAACTGTCTTCTAACTCTGTCATGAGCATCACAAATGCATGATTAAATCTGTAATGCTTTGCCTGCCATTACCTATTGCCTTCCTAGGAAAGGTTCTGTCTCTGCTGCATCTCTCCTGAGACCTAAAGGCAGATGATGGGACTGCTTCTCTCAAGTATTCTTTGTGTCATGCTGAGCGGGGCATCAAGAGCACCCATCTGTGCTGCAGGACCCGTCTAGGGAGGAATTTGGCCCTTTCCTGGGGGAAGCAGTTGGACTCAGCCAGGGGAAACCTCCTGCAGGGCTGGTGCAAGCAGCTGGGGGTGTTAGAGCTCCCAGAAGGGAAAAACTCTGGCACGTCCGAGGTTGGTCCTGCTTGGGAGCTGCCTAGAGAGCAGAGGCTAATGAATTATGAAGTGTAATAAATGTGGGCATAGGCCTCTCTGACTTCATTCCGAGTCCAATAATAACCTTTAAAATAATTTTTAGACTGATTGAAGAGCTACCCTTTCCCCATAGCCTCAGCCTGTCATGGGAAAGAACATCCGGATGCAATCATTTAAAAGATCCAAAGGCTGAAATTTCTAAAACAACCGTGAGCTTGTGTAGTCTTGCTTATTTACTGTCACTAAGAAAGAAAAAACTGAAACTAGGGAAAGGGCAAGTTGTAGGGGAGGAAGTCACAGGCTTGGACGCGGTGACTGAGGAATTGGGGCTATTCTAAGCATCTCTCATGGAGTAAGGACATGCTCTGCTACAGACTGCTGCACTGCCTAAATCTGGGGAAATCGTCAACTAAGTGAAAGATGCACAGGTATTGATCAAAGTATGATAAAGCTAAGGATGAATTCTGGCAGCATCCCAAGGCCGTGATAGGCCAAGTTACGCTTAAAGAAACAGTGGGAAGAAAAGCCAGCCTGAGACAACCACAGGTAATGGAGACACAGAATAAAGAGCAGGGATATTTTTTTATTCTCAAATTAGGTGTCACGTGTATGGTACGGAAAAATTCCTAATAGAAATGTCCCATTTCTTTAAGCCCACTGAATCTTTGACTCGGATGCCGACTTTGCTCCCCAGCCAAAATTTTCACTTAATTATATAATACTAAAATCTATATTTAGGGCTTTAAATAAAAATGACCTGGATTTCAGAGTTAGCTCTACCCAAAGTTTCTTTAACTCTGCAGTGGTGTGAATGAGTACTGCGATTTAAACCCACTGAAAATTAGGCCACCTGGCAAGACAAGGCATTTATCTTGTGAGTAGTATAGCTTGTTTGGGTGGACGAGGAAGAAGAGAGGACAATGGCAAAAAAATAATTGCTTTGTGAGGTTTTTTGTTCTGTCCTTCCTCCTTCCATCTTTAGGCTGCTGTCTTGAATGGCACCAGACTGTTCACGGGCAAGAGAAGTGTGACTTCAAACCACAGCATTTGCAGTCAGATAACTTTCCTCCTTGATCCTCGGTAAGCTAAATCACACCTATGCACCCACCTACATCATGTTGGTGGGGGGGTGTGTGGGTGTGTGCATGTGTATATTAGCACAGCACAGCGCAGACCGTTTTATTAGCAGAGACACGAAATTGCACGATAGCTCTGCAAATCATCATTAAAGTCTGTAGCACTTACGATTAAACCATTTATACATGTGTAGGTTGTTTATATGTGCACACATGCATACATACAAATAGCTTATGGTTCGTATAATGTTGACAAAGAAATGCAGCACTTAGCAAAGACAACAATGTTCATTAAGAGGCTATGTACTGCTTGGAGTACTTTTTAGCTGCACAGTGGTGGGGGAATGATATCAGGCCTGAGCCCTGAGGTTTCCATCGAGCTCTATCAGGAGTGCCTGAGAAGCCGAGCTTATGGAAAAAAGGAAAAGCAGAATAAGATCACACAGTTTTCTCTACCTTCACTGGTTGCTTTCTGTCTCAGACAAGTCAGCGCCCTTTTCTCTCATGGGGACCCGGCTTCAGGTTGGGAAACAGTACGGAGCTGAAACTAATGCATTTTCCAGTAACTTGTTTCATACACTTTTAGTTAGAAATTAGCAGAAGACACTTTGCTCCTTTCCTCTTAAACTGCTTGTTACCTCTGAGCCAATGGTCTTGTATTTTATTTCCCAAACAAGATCAAAGAAAACCAATCTCCCTCTCCTCCTCCCTCCCTTCTCCCCACTAGTCAAATGTGTCCAAAAAATAGCAAAAGAAGGTACCTACGGGATTCAGGAGAATGGTGAGGAAGAGTTCACCTCCTTGGATACTTTTGTCCAGCTCCTGAGGACCCCCAGGATATTCCTTGTAAAAAATAGTATGAGTGAAAAGGCCACAGGTCTGTCGAGGGAGCACCTGCAAACAAAATAACAGCTCCGTTGTGACATTAACTTCTTTCTGCAACCTTGCCCTGGCACAGCCACCCGAATCCCTCCGGCAACTCCAAGAAACAGAACTGCAACCCCTTCTGCCTCTGCTCTGGAGTGTTTATTTATGGGTTCCTTTGTGCCTCCTGTACTCTCGTGGTAAGCAAACGTGGTCCTGCAGATGTGGAGATTTCCAGATGCCAGCTCTGAAAAGCTGCGACACACATGCACGGAGGTTTCAATATACACGGTTTTATTCAGCTCATACGGTCATAATAAGTGTTTGTTTCCTGGCATTTGGAAGAGGAGGAAAACAAAAAGCCAAGCCTCTCTTCCCTTAGCAAGGTTAGTTTATTAGCAGATAACTAGAGCTTCCGTGCCATCCCCACTGTCTCAGGCAGTTAATCTTACTGTTCTTGAGACATTGAACTGAATTTGTATTCAAGGCTGTGGACCACAAAAGACCTGTTGCTTCATACTTTCCTCAGTCCTGAAAACCATCCTGAGCCCCTCATTCCTGTTTGCGAAATGTGTGCAGGACTGGTGGTCGCCTGAGAGCGGCCTGAGGTCAGCTCCCCGTCCCGTCATAAATCAAGAGGCTGCGTGTCAGCAACGAGCCAGCTAGCAGGCACGGGAAAACAAACTCATCTTGGAGAGCTAGATGGTGTCATTACGTTATCAGCTAGGCGCTATCAGAGGGCTCTGCTAAAGGCAAGACAACAACTGCCAGGGCTTATGGGTATTGCCTAATCTATGCAGAGACACAATTCACTTAGGGAAGGCCTTTTGTTTCCCTCCAGTCAGTGTTTTTGTTTTTCTACTCCGTTGAAACAGCAAATAAAAGCTACATTCAGCAGAGCACTTTAATACATGTGTAAATGCACTGCTGAATTTGAGTCTATTGCAATAATAATTGGACCCTGTGCAGTAACTTCTTGGTTTTAAGACACTTCTTTTGTCTTGTTTAGGGGATCACAAGTTTGACTTCATATGCATAGGCAATATTCAAGTCAGCTGGGACTTCAAAGCACCTTGGGACCTGCCCTTGAAATATTTCTAACTTCACTTACGCATATGCAGTTTTTGTTTCACCTGTCTACAGGGTTGCAGCTGGCTGGTAAGACGGGACAAATAATTTTATACATTTTCCTGCCCTTCACCCAGTTGAAGTGTGTATGTCAGGAACCTTCTATTTCCTTGCACAAAAGCATGGTCTGGAAGGGTCAGGCATGTGTCTGGTCCCTGGCTCTGGGAGTTTCAGAAGCAAAGCTTGGAACAAAACCTCGGCCTCAGAAGTGTCATACTTGCTGGAGGAGATTACTTATACCTGCTCACCTTCCCAGGTGGTGGATTTCTAATCCTTTCATGCATAAAGATGAACCAGAGCTTGAAACATAGGTCTTAGGCAGTTTAATGAATTTCAAAGTATGCATTTATAACTCAGTTGATAGTTGATGGGACTACAAGTACATTTAGTTTCTGAGGATTACATTTGTGATTGCCTGAGTTTGTGTGACTTTTTTTTTCTTTAAAACTGACTGCATAACAAATGCACTGTTTTGGCATCCTCACAAATCCTCGATCACAGAGAATTTTAATGACTGCTGTAAAACTTGAAGCATTTGGTAAAAATAGCATACTTTTGAGTCACTTAAAGTACTATTGCTATGAAGCATGGAAATGCAGTGTACCATGATGCCATTGTGGATGAAGCCCCGTCTGTACCGTGCAGGCTTCAGGTGTGGGTATTCTTCTGTGCTGGTCACTCGGATGTGCCAAACCTTCTTCCAGGCCTCGTACAGCTGGATGTGAACCGGGTAGACCCCGGAGTGGTGTGGAGCCACTGCGTACCCCATGCCAGTCGGTATGCTGTGCTCCTGCAACACAGCGGAGGGAGGAATATATTTAGGAACGGAAAGAGAACATGTAATTATTCAAAGCTTATTTTTCCCGCAGACAGCGGCATCAGAGAAGATGTTGTCTTTGGATAGACTTGTATATATTTGTATGTAGCACAAGTTAAAGTGGGGGGGAGATGAGGGGAACTGGAATTACAGTTTGATAACTGCAGAGTGATAAATAATCCTCTTAGATTATGTTGTGTTACTTGTTACGTGGAATAGATTTGCCTGCCTGTTCGTTACATACTGTGTGTATTTTAATATGCATTCTACCTGTTTGTTTCTTTTTAAAGGTAATCCGGTAAGCTGGTGTTGCTTATTTACTAGGCTATCAAACAACATTAAAGCGGTAAACAGATGGAAAAGATTGTTGCAGTGATATATGTGGGATTTTTGTTTCCTGTTTCTGGAATTAAGAGCAAGATTCCTTCCTTAGTTAAAAAAAAAAAAAAATCCCCCATAGCTTCTGAATCTGCTTATATTTTCCATGGTATTAAGGTAGTATCAAAAAAAGCTGGACTTTGATGGACATGTTTTTCGTTTCATAAATATTTATTCATCTCACTTTCTCTGAGGAAATAATGTGCATTTTCATGAATATAATCTATAGGTTATCTTGAAAATATCTTCCGACAGCACAATGAGGTAGTTAATGTGCAGGCAGAAGGAATTAAGGAAGAAGCTTAACTGCGAGCGTGCTGGGCCCCTTCCCATCACTCCTGATGCTCTCTTGTCTTTGTTCTGCTCCTTGTCCCTCCCGCTCCCTACTTAGCGTGGGCTGTCTGAAAACCCCATCTGATGACAAGGCCTGATAACCACCTCTACAGACCGGGATATATTCAAAAGAGAGCAAATTATTTGAAGTGTAAGCTCTATATGTGAAAAGGAGGTAATTAGTTTCGTTGGTCGGAGTGACTATTCAGAACACATGCAGCGTTTGTCACTAGCTACTGGCAGAAAGAAAGGCTGAGCTCTGCCTCTTCTCCTGCTAAGGCTCATTTCCAACAGGTTCAGTAAAAGCGCTTTTCAAGCCTCCCATGGCGTCTCCAGGTTGCAGGGTGTCCTGCCGCTGTGGCTCTTGCCAGACCCCTTCCCGCCCTCTGGGTGTTTACTGAATTCATTTTACTCCTGGTACTACAGGATATATCAGCTGTTTTCTGTCCATATAAAATTAATGTTCAGAGGGAAATGGCTAAAATGAGATGATTATTTTTAATTTTTTTGTCCTTCCTCTTGCCCACACTATCCAAGAACTGTTGATTACTTCAATTCCAGGAACAGCAGGTTTTTCTGGGCATCTTCAAGTACTTTGCAAAGAAAGGGTTTTGTTCACTGACAAAAATTAAGGTAAATCTGTAGGGAACTGTTGTTTGTACATCGCATAATGCAACCACTTAAAATTATCCATTCCTTATTAGTAAAGATCTTAGGTTACCAGCTGATCTTGAAAAAAAGAAACCCCAAAATCACTTTTTCATGATTTACTGAGAGCAAAATGTAATTTCTGCTTATTAATGTTGTTACCTACCTGAAAGGCATGAGCCAGTTTAAGGGTGAAATGAGGAATAGCTCTATAATGAGAAGTGTTACTTTTTACACTCTCTTCTCTTCTTGTGATTTTTTTTTCCCCATGAATGTGTACTAAGGAAAATGCTATATCTGAAGATTTCTGAAAAATCAGGCCGTTTATTGCTCTGCCTGAGTAGTCTGTGATGCTTGTGCTGTCAAGTGCACTGTGTTAACTTAAATATGCTACATTAACTTGAATCTACAAACCTTCACCAAACTTGTGCTAGGGAGTAGGCAGACATGTCAATGTAAGGTGCATGTGTCCTGAGATAGATAGTGAACACTGCTCTGAATGATATGCCCAAAAGTAGGTATCTGGATGAATACATGTAAAATCCTGTTTATCTACTTACTATTTGCTGCTGGTATTGCCATAGCAACAGAATGGTGAAATGGTAATCAGCCACTCACAAATAAAGTAACGCAGCCTTTCATAAATTCTCCATATAAAAAGCTAATTAGCCTCTGAATAAAACCTGCACACTACATCGTTCATCACACGAATACATGAGAGTCATTCAGATACCCAGAATGATTTTAAGAAGAAACAACTAACAAATAATCAGATTTTCTGTGGTCCGTTCCATGTTCAGTTTACTTGAGTAAATTAAATATATTGTATGTCCTCTTCTGGTGATTCCTGTTGCTCTGTTTCCTTTTTTCCTCTCATTTTGTTAAATTTAGTTTGGGATTGGGAACTAATGTGTTCAAGGAGGAGCATACATTTGAATCTAAGCTCTTGGGCAAAACGGGAGGTGCCTGTAGTGAGTGTATTTTCTTACATGTTCTAATGAACAAGTTCCTACAAGATTCTATTGGGTTATTTTTACATTCAACATTTCCAATTTAATTTCACAATTTCTTCAAAAACTTTGCATGCATGCTTTTCTGGTTTGGAAAACTTCTGTCCCTTGTTGGCACTGAGAACATCAGCACTACATTCCTTTGTGTGCCATTAAGTCTGGACAGGTTAAATTTGTGTTCCTGTTTTCACTTGTGTGTTAAGAGACTTTCAATTCTAACTTAAGTGACAGTGTAAGCTGAAGATGCAGCACTGGATGAGTTCAATATTAAAGGAAAATCACTGTCACAGCCTGTGAGATGAGGCGGGGGAAGATTATTAAAACAGTTGTGGTTTTGGTAGAAAATTCCCCAAGTTGTCACTACTTCCCATGCCGTTGGTTTGCATCATGGAGCAGTCTGGGTGCCGACCTGATGTCTTCCAGGCAGTAGTGAGCACGTGGCATGCGGATCAGACTTCTACCAGCTCAACCCTCCCTCTGATGCCCACGTGTGGCCAGCACATCTGGCCAGTGGCAGCCGCCTCCTGTGGCAGAGCCCAGGGAGTCACTTGTGCTGATGCACCTAAGCCAGTGCAATGGGAGTTGGAACCCCATTGTCCTGCCAATGCAGCCTGGCTCATCGTTGCACCCTCCAAAATTACCTTGCATAGAGCCCGTGCGTAGGACAGGTACTTCTGTGTGTGATCTGAAAGGCTGAAGCAATCTGCCAAGGCTCCTTATCTCTCTCAATTATCAGCTTCATTCAAGCCAGTGAAGATTTGCTTTAAACTCCTAAATTCTTTTGACCTTCCTATTTGTGCAGAAATGAGCTGTTTGCCATGAGTCAGCGTGTGCTGTGTGTACTTATTCTGTGTTTGTGAAAAACCCCTCTGCTAAAGAAAGGGCAGTTAATGCAGAATGAGCACTGCCCTCCAGAAGGAGGTATATTCTCAACGAGCAAATTTGTGTTCTTATAGCAGATTTTTCTGTGAGCAGATGTTGGAAATTTGAATTAAAACCAGCATCTGGAGGACTGACTATATTAGCAGGATCTTGTCTGACAGAAACCTCCCAATTTTTTATTGCCTTGTTAAAACATGGTAAGAAATAAAATGGAAAAAAAAACCAACCCTGAAACTGTTATAACACAACTGGCGTTTTGCTTCTTAAAGATCACTGGTGAGGTGTTTTACAAAAACATCTAGTATTGGCCATTGTGAGGGAAAGAATAAAAAGGTGGTCTTTTATTTAAATTTATTAAATCTTATGGCTACTGTAGATCTCACGCAGCCAGTTGAACTGCAGGATTCCCTTTGGTGTAAAGACTTCTGTTAGATGAAAGAGTTAACAATGCAACCTCAGGTAAGTTTGCTAAACCTTTTGACTTTGTCCAACAGTAGGGGATAGAGTAAATGTAGTACTTTTTTAGATGTTACCTTCTGACTTTAGAAGACTTATATAAGCTTTGCATATTTTTAGTACCGGGATATATTTCTAATATTGCTCCACATTGGTGAGATTTCCTAGAAGAGATTATATGTTACTGTGTCGGTTTAAAATACTTGGTAAAGTTTCTCTTATTTGGTAAAAGAATTTGCTACTTTCTTGCTTGTCAGTACTCACAAAAATGTTGTATTGTATTTTTGTCCTATATGGACATAAGATTTTTTTTCTCAAGGGTTAAATTTCTGGATAATTTTTATTGAATAAATATTTCAGCCTTCAATTCTAAATTTTAAAAACCTGCTTAAGAGCTCTCTAGTTAGAGAAGGTGGTTCAGTAAAGAAAAGGTGATTGTTATTGAGCTATAGGGGCTCTGTGTGTTGGTATTTGCTTTCACCGTTGTTTTTTCGTCTCTGATGTTCTTCCTTGCCCCGTGGCTGTACAATGCACCAAGCAGAGAGTACAAGGGGTCTTAACGAAGCGAGTTTTCTAGTGTTTGTGTCCGATCTGCGATTGACAGGGACATGGGAAAAGCGAGCTTTTCACCAGTCTTACATAGGAGTCTCCCGGCTATCACCATGACTCCTGTACTACACACGCCTCGCATCATAGCAGACTACCAAGAGGCTGGGAAGATGCTGGGATTTAAGATCTTAAGTTTTTGAGTATGTGAAATGAAATAAGGCAATCCAGCACCGAGGAAGCTATACATGACTAGGAAATGCATAGACTGCATGCATGTGGTACCAAATAAAGCTGAGAAAGCAGAGGCAGTCTTAGATGTGCTGTCATCTGATACAGGTGATACTACTGATAAGACAAAAGCACTAATGAGGATGGATTGTTTTTGAAGAACTTTAAGGTAAGGCAGAATAAACCTCATCCTGTTTGCACAGGACCATCTTGTCCTATATATGCAGACCATTTACAGAACACTTTTAGAGGCAATCTCCAGTGGGCATCCCTCCTTCCTAGCACTAACTACAGATATTAATAGTGGGACAAATCAGACTCTCTTTTCCTCACATGTAGATACTTTGGCTTTGATATGTGGTCACTGGTCTTCATATTCTTGGTATTTAATTGGTATATTAAAAGCTCATGTTTTCTTTGTGGTTTGGGCAGCTCTAAAGTTTTAGGCAGAGGAAGTGCTAATGCACATCTGTAGTTGGTTTATAAATAGGAGATAGAAAGCAAGGAGTGTTACTAGACAGGCTCTGAATTGATTTATTTGGTTTGTATGTGTCTCTCATATCAGATCACAGCTACCTTTTTACAGTCAATAACAGTTTTTGCCCTATTTCTACCGTGCTTTAGGCACATGAGCTCACAAATGAGCACAGAAGATAATCACTGAGCAAACAAATTGAGGGACAAAATAGAGCTACAGGCTTTGGATTAAATATATTCTACTTGGTTTTGTCAGATAAAGATGTACAAAAGTGGGGAGGAAGGATATCTTGCGATTAAAGGATGGCAGTGAAGACTTGGTTCATTTTATTTTTGGAATATGTGCTATCAGACTTCTACTTGCACAATTTGTTTACTTCTTTGTGTATCAATTGCATTGCCTATAAACAAGGGAATAATACTTGAGATATTATCAGTTTGCAATTATTCCAAGGCTTAAACCATTAGAGTCTTTAAAGGCTTTTGGCATCCTTTGATAGGAAAAAAACCCCACAAAATATGATTAAATCAAACCCAACTGATAATCAAAATAAATGTTATTTGCCACTTCCTTAGCGAGGCTCTGAAGCATACCATCCATATTTACATAAATAAAACGACATTGGGATAGCAAGGTTCTGGGTAGTCTGCAACTTACTTTTACCAGAGTTATAATCTCTGGCTCTTGTTCTGCTGAGGATATTGTGAAGCACTTAAGAGCTTTGGCAGCGAGGGCTATGGATGGGTCTGGCTGTGAGTCCCATCACTCAGGCATGCATGGACGAGGATTTTGCCAGGCAAAACTTCCTGCGCTGCCTGCCAGATGCAGAGCAGTGGGGCAATACCACTTATGAAAGAAAATCTCTTCCTCTCACCAACTAGGCATGAAACAGTAGAAATGATAAATGTGACACATAAAATACAGTAATTTGGAGGGCTCTTCTTAAAGGCAGTCTCCTGATTCACAAGCAATTCACATGTGAGGGAATCCTTTAAAGACTGTTGATTTTACTAAGCCGTAGATAGAGGTATACATATCTGCACTGACATCAAGGCAATTAGATACCTAATTAGCAATTAGTTGTATGTATACAAAGCTGTTTAGCTATCAGATTTCTACATGTGTCTTGTCATACAGCGTTTGAGGCAGGCTGCAATTGTAAGCTCTCATTTTACGAAGCATCGTTATGAGGTATGGGCATATCTGTGTAAAACAGAATGTGGCCTTTTATCTAGTTGCCAGCTGTAACACCTGTATCTCTTGCCTGTGTTCAGCAGCCTGCACGTGTACTTGAGCTCCTGCAAACCAAAGCTTATGCATACAGTGTAAACACAAGAGCCAATAAAAATTATGCTTTTGTACATTTATAGCTCTGTGTGATAATAGCCATGAAATACTGTTTCGGGTGCACTGTCTTGCGTTTACTATGCTTGACTTTAATCCACAATGCTCAAGAGAAGGACATTTCTCCTGTGAAACCTTTTCCTCCAGTGAACAACATCAGTCCTAAGCCTAATGCTCTCTTGCGTGGAGAAACTGCTGACTGTGATGGGATTTGAGTGCAGAGTTCCAGACAGTGTGTTCTGTTTTAGCTTTCTTCTAAAATGACAGAGCCGGGAGGACCCAACGGGTCTTAATGAACAGCATTTTTGTTGTGGTATTTGGGATCTTAAAGTGACCTGGACTGTTCTTCTTGGGCATAATGATGTGCTCTCCCATCTTGAAGACCCCATTGCCTTCCTACCCATCTTTAAAAGATGAATGAAGAACTGCCACATTAGGTGAAAAATGAATGGGGTCATACTTCCACAGAATTATTGTAGCTTTCCTTGCAGAAACTGACAAAAAGTTTCGTCTCTACTTGCAACTTAAAATGGGAAATGCAAGAGAACATGGCATCAGCATCAAGCTGTGTTCTTCTCATACTAAATAAAGATATTGAGCACAAATAAAACATGTATAACATCATGCAGATTTTCTAAGTATTGTTCTAGATCTCTTATTTAAATTTGGATCCACACTGTGAAGTCAAAGAATAATGAAAAGGGATTTGCTTTAACTTTGGAGGGTTTCTAGAAGTGCAGCTGTAGAACGGGGAGTGCCTTTCCCAAGTAAGACATGACGCTGTGGATGAGAAAGCGGGGGAGTATACAAACCTACTAGGAAGTCATGTCTGGGACCTCTCTGATAGCTATCAGGAAGGTTGTCGTATCAGGAAGATAAATTTCTCCCACAGAGAGGGTTTCACAGGAAGCCTTTTGAAGAGAAATGTTCTCATAAGTAAATTGTACAGCTCATATAGATTCAAGGTTAAGAGGTTGGTACAGCCGCTGTCCAAATGTTAGCAGGAAATAAAACTGTAATAACAGCAGCCTTTCATTGACATCAGCTCCTTATTTATAGGCACCCTAAGGAGTCTCTACCCTTCTGTGATGATAGAGACATGGGCTTTATCTGTCTGTAGTTGAAGTTGTGAACAGTTTCTATTACAAGCCCTGTTTTCAGGCTGTGCTATAGATTTTACTCCCAAAGGTGGTTTGACCTAGAGCACTTCATGTTTCCTGAAAATACTAGGAAAATTTCCCCATAGGTTTAAAGATGAACAGACCATGTATTTTTGAGATACAGATTATTTTGAATTACTCTTGCATTTAAACTCTCAACTCTATTTGGGTCTCTGGGCTAGGCTCCACAAAAGGCAGTTCAGGCCATGCCAGGAATGAAGGCTGACAGTAAAGCAGAAATGTAGAAGGGAAAAGAAGTCGTCCAAAATGCCTCTGGACTAACACCCTGCCAAGCAGGAGATGGGAAGGAGGAGGAAGACTGGCAAGAAGAGTAAACAGTTAAGCCATTTTTAATGAATTTTCTTTAAAGGCTGTTAGGAAAATATTTTCATAAACAAGGGAATAATTTGCTTCCAGTTGAACTGATTGTTCAGGCATCTGCCTCTGCCATTTTCCTGATGTGCCTTGGCTCACGTGAGGGATGGGAGGAAGGGGCAGCTGCTGGCTGGCCTTTTTGGAGCTGCAAAGGGCTGAGACTTGTGTTCCCTGAGCTGCAGAGAAAGCTCCACTGTGTCACTCTGCTCTTTTGAGTGGCTCTGGTTGCTTGGCATTTCTACGTCTTGTCAAAGACCACACAGTGTCTTTTCTAAAGCAAGCATTTATAGATTTCAGGTTTTCTTTGTCATGCTCAATAAGCAAGCAGAATTACTCTGAAAGGACTCTAAATAGTTTCCACCCGACCTCGGAGTACAAGTACTCTGAGCTCTGGGCAATGCTAGGAGGATAGCTCTTGTAAGTTAACAACACAAATGAGCAAAAATGAAACATCATTATCTATAAGTATTAGCAATCAGTTAGCTATGTAAAAAGCATATTTTCAAGCAGGTCATCTTAAAAAAGCTCAGTGAAATCCAGCAGCTTCACTTATGTTCTTCATTGTCTTCAAGATTTCTCATAAACCATACACAACATTGAGGGTTCACTGTAACTTTCTCCCTCTCCTATTGAGGATGTTTGCACCAGACTTCAGGAAGCTGATAACCTGTGTATAAACCCCTTCCTAAAGCTTAAAAAGCCAGCTGCTATCTGCTGAATTTTTACTGCTTCTGGACCCTATGGTCTTGCAAGGTTGCTTGGGCGAAGGTCTGCTGCTTCTCCAGAAAGCCTGTGTCAGTCAAAAAGGCTAAGACAAAGTTCAGCTCAAGTTGGAGTCACAGAAAGGCTTTTTTTTCGGCTGAGTTTCCAATCTTGCTGCCTTATTTGCATATCTATGTAAGCATATATGTGTATAATATAAACAAACACAAAACCAGCTTGGAAAATATAGCTATAATATGCAAAAGTATCCTAGTAAACCTTTTGGCAACTTTTTTACTCACTATTGCAAATTCTTTGTTGAGGATCATCTGCTCCACCAGTGACGACTCGTTGTGGAAGAGGTGAGGCTGCATGTGACTCCACATATGGGGAAACCACCAAAACTCATCCACAGATCTCAACAGCAGGTCATCTCCTTCGTCTTCCTCTTCAGTCCCTGTGGAAGAAAGAAAGAAAAAAAGGGTAATAGAAAAGCAGCAGCGGAAAATACCCATAATTGTTTTCTAAACAGAAGAGGCTGCCATAAAACCTAGGGGGCTTGGCCTTACTCTACTGCAGACAAGCTCTACCATGTCACAAAAGGAATGAGGTGAATTACCACGGGTGGTAGCTATCCCTTTCTGTTCCTGGCATCATGGTGTTAACTGACAGTAATTCTGACAAGAATTAGTTTTCAAGGGCTGATTGTTGTGCTCTGTAATGCACTAGGAGTATTTAGAAGTTCAGGCTCCCGGTGAAGGTGGGGACTGGATGGACTTGTACCCACCTGCTTTGGTCCCGCCAGACACTGCATGGTTGTAGCTGGCCAAGGTGGCATCACAGAGAGTGTGTGCCGGAGTCTTGCCAACCCCATCACTGCATGTGTGGCCAGCTCATTATTAGCCTCCTTAAACTGAAATCTGGTAAGTTCTGGTAAAGTGAGAAACAAGTTTGCGGTGGTTTCACAATATAATTAGGTGGAAAACATCAAGCTGTAATAGGAAAGGGGTTCCAAATGTTGTTTCCTATGGTTCAGTATTCAATTTTTGCCAGGTTTAATCTTGAAGTAAAACCAATAAAAGCTCCTGTGTTAGTGAAGAGTATCTACTTCAGGCAGAAGCAAGCATGTGTGGTTATAATAAAGAAAACCTTCCATTTGAGTAATGATACAACGCTGCTTCCACATTCTGCAGAGATATGTCCGCTTTTTCAAATTGGAAAGCCAAAACTGCATTTCAGGAACTTCACCCTCAAATTACTCAACAATATTCTGTTTATTAGCAGCCTTCCTTCTTGTTCCTTTACCATCTAAATGCTTTTATTTAGCTTCAGTCAAAGAAATAATTGTCAAAATCACTTTACTAATACAAACATAGGTATCTTGTCTTCTTACAAGCCTTTCAATGTTTTGCAAAACTCACTGGAAGATGATGATCCACGGATGTCACTCTTTACCTTAGTGGCATGAGGCAGGAACATGCAGAGATGTCTGTTTGGTGCATGCACTTCAGCTCTTTGTGTTTATTTTTCAACTTCTGCAGTGTTTTTTGAAGAGTGCTACTACACAACAAGACTGTTTCTTTGAAACTTTCTCCTGGTGCCACTGAACCACTTTACTCCCCTCTTTGCAGCACCCTGCAAGTTCTAAGAAATTCGCTCGTGCTGGTGGGAGTGCTGCTGGAAAAAGAAAACAACCTTGTTTTCTAGGGAAATCCTTTTTCAAAAGAAGGGACCGAGGGCTGCTCCTCCTGTGAATGGCTGCTCCCCTGTGTGAAACTTCTGTATATGCTGCATTTGCTGAGTGACCGCTCTCTTGGTTTTTGGGGGGTGTAGTTCACTTGCAGTCACCTGACACGTGCAAGGGAAATGTGATGGGGTGAAGAAACTTAACACAGGCTTTCAAAATGAGACAGAAGAGAAAGGGATAGGAGTTTGTGAACCTGATGAAGATCTCTGGTAACCCAAAGGGAGAAAACTGAAGGTAGGGAAGAAGAGGGGGAAAAAAGAAGGTATTGAAGAGGGGAAAAAAGGGGATATTTGAAATATATAAAGAACTACAATCATTTGATGTGAGATTTATGTCAAAGTATAATTTAGTGCCTCATTAACCTTTGAAGTAGGTTCTTGAAATAATTTCATTATTAAAAACTCTACTTAAAAATCTTATTTTTTCCTACTAATTTCTTTGTAAATTTAGATACAACTAGTCAAACTTTGTGCCTTTTTTTTTTGTTGTAACAAAAATCAAACAAGGTAAAGCATAATCCTTTCCAGTTTAAACAAAAACAACCCCACCCTGTAATGGCAGACCCGAAACAGAAAGGTTGGAAGGTTAACATGTGGTGGGGGTGTTGCTTTTGAGGATAATTTTCTTTTCAAGCCTTTAAAAAACCCTATTGTTTGATTTTATAAATTTTTAGGTAGCGTTAGTTCCAAATGATCTCAGGCAAAGGTTTAATGGACCATTTGGTGAGTGCTTATATTGTTTAAATATTTTTGCCCAGGCCCTTGTTCAGAGTATTGGATGCAAAACAAGGGATTTTTAACTTTTAATTTCTTATGCAATCAACATTCTTTATGTAACTTTCTTCATTTTAATGTAAAATCTGAAAAATACGGTAGACCTAAGATTAAGGAGGTGAACATACATCTGCTTTGCCCTTCACACAGGTAGGAAATAATTCAAGTTTTTTTGCAGATAATAAATAATTTTGAAACTACAACCATAAGTTGGAAGTCTCTTTTGAGCTCAAAACTGAAAATGTTTGAAGTTGCTATCAATAATCTTATAAATCTTAAATGCAAGTCCTGAGAGCATCTTAATTTCTATTGCCACAGCATGAACAGGTAGAAAGTGTTTGCTAGAACTGCATAAATAGGGTCTGCTCAGTTTTTTGCTAATAGCGTTACGTCTAAAGTGCATAGTTTACCAGTGTCGCAGAAGGGAATGGTGGTGGTGGCGAGATGATGAGCAGTGAGGCCGATGTGTCAGCTATTGTACTTGTGCGGAGGCATACCAGCTTGAATTGGTGTTTGTAGTACAGATGTCAGCAACATCTTTTGATGAAAATGTATAACTGTTTAATCTGCCAACGCATTCCCATGCTCATCTCTCTCCTGTAGTTTTAAAATGATCCAAGATTTGGCAAGGAGAGCAAAATCACACATTAAGGAACGCAAGAAGGCACAGCAGTTGCAGTGTGCTAATAAAACATGTTGAATATCTGATACTAAGAGCCTGTCTGGGTAAACAAACCACATTTACAGTAATTAAAGAATACCTTTCCACGTTTTATTTATAATGAGTCAATAAAGTGTATATTGCATGGAGAATACTTTGAAACCTTTCCACTAAGCTGATATGACAAAATGCCACCACCAACCTGTAAACGAAGTTTTCACTTAAAAACTCAGATGCATCAGTGAGTACAGGCAGCAGCAGGTCCCTTAACGGAGGCAATGACATGCTTCAACTCATTAAGTAGTTCTGTGCTATTTTTGTGAGCCTTGAGAGCCTTAGGAGGACAGGCGCACATGCACGCTCTCCTGTTGTTTCTCTCTCTACAGCAGTGGCAAATCTGAAATTGGCCAGCGGTGTATGAGCTGGGCAAGAAAACCTGTGACGACAGTATGGAGGCTGTTGGGATGAACATAGAAAAAATGTATTGGCAGGTCAGGGGTTCGATTTTGTAGAAAGGCTGCGTGTTTTGTGCCAGCCACTGTTCAGTACGTCATAATCTTTATAATAAATGATCTCTTTCTGCACCTCCTCCTCTCCTTGAATTACGTTTCTCTGCAGTGGACACTAACGAGTGATACCAGCTTTACTGTGCAGATGGCCACAACTGAGCTGTATCCCACTTTAGAGTGGCTCAGAGCCTTTGGCTATTTTTCTTTATGTTGCTGTATTACGTGTGCGTCTGATTAATCTCCAGAAGGAATAACGACACAGGCAGGTCAAGATGAAGTGAGGAGAATACTGAAGTTCTGTCTCCAAAGTTGCTCCCTAATCATAGGTCTGCCACTGGCTTGTTATATGACTCCAGGCAAGTAATTCCATCTCTCTCTACCTCTCATTTTTCTCAGGCTCTCCAGCCTATATCTTTAGTCCGTAAGGTTTCCTGGGCAGCAGTTGCTTAGCATTATGTGCTTGCACAAGGGGAAAACAGCCTGGACTTTGAAAGCGACAGAGATACAAGTACATAGTTTTGGTTTCCTTCTCTCGATTCATCCCTCAAATGATTCCTCATCTCCCCTTCTCCCAGGGACCTCTGCTGTCTCCTAAGGGGTGGTGAATTGGAGACATAAGGGCTGGGTAAGCTCATCTGTTTGGTGTTCAAATACCAGCAATGAAAAGGGGAGGTTGGCTTTGCCTACTCTGAGAGGGGTGACCTGCCTTATTCCACAGCTGCCTCATGGCCCGTGACAGCTGGGGCTGCATTGTTCCTAACTGTTAAACTTACCCTCCCATCCTCTTGCTGCTGTAATGCCTCCTCCTCTGCTCCAGATAAGTTTCTCGGCTTCCCTAGCATCACTCAGTGAGTGTCACTAAATGTGACTGAATGAGTTGACAGGTGAGGATTTTGGAGCTAGTCTTCAATGGTGGGAAGGGTATGAGGTTTGGAAAGGAGAAGGACAGGAGGTGTCTCCTTTGAAGTGAGTCACTGAATGTCTTTTTTTTTGCCTTAGCAGTACTAGGGAGCAGCATGGCTCAGTGGCAGCAGAGAGAAACCTGAGTGGAGGTGCAGCAAAATGTTAAGGAGAAGGCAAAGGAGGAGGGGAAAAAAAGAAAATTAAAAACAAGGGATATTGTCCTGTAGAGAAGTGGAGCAAAAGAGAGAAAAGAGCCATGAGGAGGAGATGTAAAAGCACCTAATCCTCCACAGAAACACAGGGCAAGTGTACAACTTGTTACTGCATGGAGTGTGAAAGGAGCAGGGTTTCAATACAAATTCCTTTTCATCTTGTTTTCCTTTTATCATCCCTCCTGATTTGCAGAGCACTGAGATAGATTACCTCTACAGTCATAACAATATCTTGTGCATCCCGTTTGAACACTTCTGCCTCTTCAGAGGTTATGAGACATGATTTTTCTGGTCTTTTTCTATTTCATCATACGTGTCGCACTGGAAAAACCTTAGTAGGTCTTCTGTGCTGTCCTGTCTTTTGGGATGTTATAGAGATCTCAGCAGCTACTTTGCCTCCTTTGTAACCCTAATATTTAGTACCACACATCTTTCAGAAAAGCACCGAGGATATCTACGTGTTCCTGAGAAGCTCATCCGTAGAGTACATTTGCCCCTTTGGACACTGAATTAGACACTGGATGCTGAAATGGTGGAGCATCTATTTCCCACTGCTCCACTGAGTCAACGTGTTATTTAAAAAGGGCATGTTCAAAGCTATGTTTACAATCCTGTCACCTATTTAACTGCAGCTACCTGAGAGCATGAAGTTCCTTCTTACCTGTGTGGTAAAATTTTCCTGAAAATCCAAGGTTGAAGGTAAAATTTGCAACCTGAGTGCGCAGTAAATTTTGAGTCTCTAGTAAAGCCTGAAATAAATAAGAAATTAACATGCGTTTAGAAAAATTAATAGTAATTTTTGGAATGGCTCATTTTAAAAGTTGTGTCCGACTGAGGAGATACAAAAAAAAGATCTTGTTAAGTGTTCCACATTTTCTTTTGGGCTCATTCTTTTTATAAGACTGTTACAGTGAGCTTAATTTGTTCCATCAGATTTTGCTGGTCTGGCAATGCTAGTAATTATACCTAAGTACCAAAGTAGGTGATGGATCCGTAACTTGGACCAAGATACTACACATTGCAGTGATCTATGGCAGAACTTAATCCAGCTATTCAGAGGCAGTAATATGCTAAATCACTAAGTCACCCATGCTTTGGGTTATGTATGAAGCTTGATAAAATGTGCTTAAGACCCAAAGTAAACTTAGGAATACTACTTGCCAGCCGGGTGTGGAGGCATTGGGATTTACTTACCTGCAGAAAGGTTTTTGATTGTGTCTGAATACCAAATTCAGGCTTAAGCATGAATAAGCAAAGCTCTGGTTTTGACCTATGGTAGAAGTAGCGTTCATGTCAGAAACTAGATTCCTGCTTATTTTTATTCTCTCTTCCAAGCAACAGACAATGTAAATGGAACAGAGGAATTGCTTATAGAAGTCACCTATCCATTTTTTTCTTGGACATATTTCCAGCCACTAGAGAAAAAGAAGAGATGGTTCAGCCTTCGTGAGCTATCTACATTTACTGTTAGTTGTCAACTCTGCATTGCTTCTAAAGATAGTCCTTGCTGCACAGATATCTGTCCGCTTTCAATCACCAGCCCACATAATTTGGACGTGCTACATATGTGAGATGGATAGTGCATTTATTTCCCTATTGGTCTTGCCAATGTTGCATGGGTTATAAGCTCTATTTCCATCAATTTTCTATGTCTCCATTATGTGGCTCTTGAGAACTTTTCCCCTTACCTATTAATAATATTTCCATTGATCAAAAGTTCATGTTCCTGCACAGTTCAAAGACAAAATGAACACAGTGGTTTACACACAGTCTGAGTCCAGCTAATGATTCCCTTCATTTGAAAAAAAAAATTACATTTTGTATAGTCATTAGTAATTTCACTTAACATTGCAGGAAGATAGCTCTGCCCTTTTGCTCACACCACTGGTCCAATTTAAAAATGACCACCACCACCAAACTCTACTTGTGACCACAAACCAAAAGTGTCACCAGTCCAGCGTAAATGATGAAACCAGGGCTTAAGCAGCTGGGACGCAGACTGACGGCCTGTGCAAACCTAGCCCAGAGAGGAGCTGAACTAAGCAGGTCAGGTTTCTGTGGTCTCATGATTTATCATATTTCCTTTGCACTGCGATGGGTTGGGAGCTGCTGTCAGCTACTGGCAGCATTTGCTGTAGGACATTAGCTTCTTAAAGTTGCTGACTCCCTCCTAATTACACAGATATTTGGGCACTGTCCGTGTTGGAGCACAAGCCTCTTCTTAAGCATCATTTGCTAACATCCACCTTCTAACGAGGCATCATTTGGGCGCCAGGCAGCTTGGGAGTGTAATACAAAAGATTGTCAGACAGTGTGCATCTGCCTTCATTTTTTAAATAGAAACATTGCGTGTGAAGGAAGACATAAAACAAAGATAGCGGTTATCAGCTACAACAGTCACCAAGCAAAATCCTTTCCTTGCTAAAGGAAATAAAGCAATCTAATGACAGTAAATCTTGTGCTTTGGCATTAAATATTAAGATAGCAGAATGGTTTCCAGCCTATCTTGCCAGACATTTAATAAGTTGATTATTTCAATCCTGTGACAATTTCACATGTGGGACTATATTTATATAATATATAACAACTAAATGTTTGAGAAAATGTAAAACCTTAGAGATCAACACTTAGCTAAGACATTGAGGAAAATCCTCAGTTGGTAAAAACTGGCACTAAATTGAAACCATTAAAGTCACAAGCATAGAATATGAGTCATTATATTTTAGAATGTAATTTTCCAAGCTATCTAGAGCATTTTATGTATGTTGAGAAAGACTGATGGGCTGAGCAAAATCAATTAAATTTCCCTTTGAGGAAAGAACATCTTGAGAAATTATCATCGCTTAACATATAGTAAAGAAGGTACACGAAACAAACATCATTATATCACTTTGGTTTTTCTCTCCGATTTCCCGCACACTCACGTCTCAATAAGATGACAGAACTGCGGGATCGGCAGAAGCCTTCCAGCCCAGTGAGGTCTCATTAAAACCACAGAGCGAGGATTAAGATGTAAATCCTGTAACCTGCAATGTGTCAAGCATTTTTCTCTGTGTAAAGGGCAAATCTGTCACTCAAACCGGATTTGGCTTGGTCCTAAAGACTTTTTTTATTGCCATTTCCATATATGCATATTAATTTATATAATATGCAGCTAAACTTCATTTTCATGACCTTGCCTAGTTTTAATACTAAGAAGATATTGTCAGCTAAGTCAGTCCAAACTTACTTTGTCACGATTTGCCTCTTTGCAAAGTGGGGGCTAATGTCTTCCACAGTGCTTAATATAAAAAAAACAATTTCTATTTAACCAATTAGGGCCTGCCTTCCCTGTTTTTGACAAATACATATTCAAACAAAATTGCTAATGACTCATACTACCTTCACTGGTAATTTTGCACAGTAAATAATGAGAACTTTTGTCTCCTGTAGGCACGGACCTTAACAGCACGCAACAAAGTGCCGCAGCAGGAGAAGAGCAGGCAACTTTCTTCCATCACCCTTCTCGCCCTCTCCTGGGTGGGTGAACCCCCGCTTGTGTGCCTGTTGGGGCAGCCACTGCTGCTCGGGCAGTCCTCCGGCTCCTGGATGGTGCAGGGTGGAGGAGCTGCGCATCCCTGGCATCCAGTGCCAGAAACCTTTCCGGGACTCGTGCAGCTTCCACACGAGGCAGAAGGTATTTGTTGAATTCTGAAGGGTTTTTCAGGGTGGAGATGGGCTATTGAATTTTAACAGCTGGAAATCCTACCCAACGCCAGGTGCAAAGAGAGCTATTCACACACTGCCTGGTCCTGCCGTGCTGCCCCCAGCTCCCCTTGGTAGCCCTCCTTCCCTGGGAGCTCCCCTGTCCCTGTCCCATCCCATCTCCATCGCACGCTGAGCTCGGCTGCCTTCACTAGGGGAGAAATGGCAGGAGCTGCCCACAACTTCAGCAGAGGGAAATTCATATAGTGGATTAAAAAAAAAAAACAACCCACCCCACAACATGACAAATCTTATTTTGTAGAGAAGATTACTCTCCTAGATATTTCATCTGACCACAGTATTTAAGTTCTATCTGCCAGTGTGTGTCTCTTCCTCAGAGTCAGCGGGATTACTTTTTTTCCCCTGAGTCCCGGGGCTTAAAAGAACTGTAAGAGGAGGAAAGCTACTTGCATGTGAAAATACAATTAGCATTCCCCATTGGACTCGTAGGGGTGTGTTAAAGCAACAGCTGGAACTCACTGTTGTTTTGTTGTTGGACAGTTAAATAGATCGTGTTAAATAATTCTCGTTCTCCAAGGAAAGGACCGTGGAGCACACCTGCACATGGACAAACAGGCATGCCTCACTGCCAGGCTGAGCAAAGTGCGGGTTTTTATAAGGTAATCCGAGCTGTTCTTTCAAATACAAAACCTTAATTGCTTGGAATCTCTCAGAACTCAAGGGTTTGACTTTATTAATTGATTCTTTGCTTCGTCAATGAGGCTTCTCTCTGTGACATCCACAAGATAGGGTTTCTTCTTTACATTGCATTTACATTCAGTGGTCTTTTACATGAATCCATATAATTACCTTTTGTAGATTTGAAGTTGCCATGTCTTTATTCTTTGTAATTGGTGCATTTATTAAGAAGAAGTGATATTTTCCTGCTATGTCCTTGTTAATTATGACTCTATCCTTCATTTACATAATAAACTTTTTGGGGCAATTTCTGCAGTCACATTTCATGCCTAATAGGAAGCAATTTGCTTTCCTTTATTAAGTACATTAAAACTTCATGCCCCAGACATCATTGACTGTAAACATTTGATTCTGCTCAAATTTAATGCACCAAGGCATTTTGCTCTGCCATTTTAGGTTTATTTATGTGCTGTGTTCTGGATTGTTAGCTGCTAATGAGACTTCGGCTCTTATTGCTCTAAGGCCTGAACACTAACCTCATTTTAATGAGTTCATTATTTGCTGCCTTCTGAATGGAAGACAACAAATTTTCCTTTTAATTAAAGGTCAAAACACCTCTGGCTAAGGAAAGTGTAGAGGTTATCAAATCCTTAGAGAAAGTAAAAGAATGACTTTTTCTGATTTTGATGCCAAGCATGGGCAGGCCAGGCTGAGGTAGGAAGTATTTCTCTGGGGACCAAAACTCCAAATCTAAGTGATAAGAGCACTAAAACGTGATACTAGTCTTCCCAAGATATTGTAAAAAAAAAACCAACCTAAAAACACCACCACCAAAACAACCCTGAAAGTCAGCCAAAGTAATTAAAGAGGCTTGACTCCTAACCCAAAGGTCTCTGTGGATCAATACTACTGCTAAAGCATGAGCCCTTCTTTGCATGTGCAATGATTTATAGGGTGCAGAGGACAGATGCCAGATTAATTGGGCCAACAAAAACTAATCTCATATTTCTCATCGGGGAAAGTGAGGCAAATGTGATCAATATTGGGGACTGTTTGTCGTGAGACAGGTATATACAGCCGTGCATTTGTGTGTGTGCAAATGCACCTGAAGGTGATTGGTGATCCCTTTCTTTGAAAAAACAGAGCTGAAACTTAAGTCAAACCAAAAAAGGAGTGATTACAGGAGGTAATATGCAGCTCCTTGTCCTTTGTCTACCGTGTTATACCTGGTCACCATCTTAAAGGCAGGCTAACAGACATAGATTCATGTGCCTCTCATTCAAGAAGCTGCTCACATCGCAGGTAATAGTGTTAGAGACAGGAAGGGTATTATTTGGGAAAGAAAGGACCAGTGTCTGTGAGAACAGCTGGTGAAAACTTAAAATCTGCT